AAGGCATGGCAGTCAGGTTTGCTCACCTTTTGTTACTAGCATTGTGTAAATTCCAAGTGAATGATATCAGCTACATCCTGGATTAAACAAGAGTCTTGTGTACATGAGATTTGGACTAAGACTTTCTTCCAACATTTGCATAGCCCAAGGACAGGTGAGTGTCACCTAATTGTAGATAATGTTCCCCACTGAAAGACAGATTGTTGAAAGAACGAAAGGGAATTACTGAGATGGTATTTGTTCCATTTTGATTGCTTTAGGCTTCCTCTTTTTCCTTTTCCTTTTCCTTTTCCTTTTCCTTTTCCTTTTCCTTTTCCTTTTCCTTTTCCTTTTTTTCTTTTCTTGTTTTCTTTTCTGCCTTTTTTTTTTTCATTCTCTTTTTTTTTTTGTTCCCTCTTTTTGTACAGAGTTTATTAACATTTTCAAGGATCTCCACTAGAGACCTCATAATAAACAGATTCATTATTTGAAAGCCAAAGGATATACAAAAATAAAGAACTGGTAGCATCTGCCAGACTGGACAGACAGAAATTCCCCTGGGATGTAAATACTCTGATAATCCTGACTGCCTCAAATCACACCATCACCATTTGTTCAATAGCATTCTTTTATGAGCAGAGATCATCTACAGCCTTGCAGTGAACCAAATAGGAGCATTAATTGTATCAGTGTCCACTGAGAATGTTCTAGTGGGTGACATCCAAGAACACGCACAAAACCAAAGGGTATGTGGGGAGTGTAAAAAAAACAAGGATGACTAAGGATGACCACATCAAGCTGCAGTGATAATTCAGTCTTCCATATTCTGAATGGTTGAGGCTGGGAGGTGGAGGGGGAAGAGGAAGTTCGCAGCAAGAGGCTGCAGGCACTGGTCAGCAGCTTCCAACACCTGAACGACACTACTCTTTCAATAGTTTTCAACTGTTACTCAAAACACAGTTGTTATGAAGACAACAACCAGCAAAAACTCAGCTTGGGAACATTTTCAGAAAATAGCTGATGTCTTTAGTTGTAAAGGTGTGTGTAGCACTGGGTCCAGTTTTACATGGGATGCTATAAAGTGTTTGCACTTGTCCATATGAAGGCCTGCCAGCACAGTGTGTGTTCTTTTATCACACGTAAGTCATGCTGTACTACCTCAAAGTACTGATGTCAATTTGGCTGAATTTCATTAGATTAATTAATGGAAGGCTAATAAAGACAGAGTGAGCATTCAGTTTATGCCTCAGGAAGTCCTTAAAACTCAAACCATTGAAAGACAGCAGAGTATACTGGGGAGCAATTTTCTCTAAGCCTTTAAGAGAGAGAAGCTGGTGAATCTATGGATACCTTTTCTGATACATCTCAGATTTGTTGCTGAGCCTACAAGTTAATATTTGACAGAGTTGGATTGCTGTTGACATTTCCTATCTCTTGCAGTGGTCTAGTTTTCATTTTGTTTTCTGTAGGCAACACCTTTGCATACATCACACTCTTTTGTCACCTTTTGGCCCTGCACTCCTTCCAGAAAGGTAAGACAGCCATAAGGTCTAATCCACTTTGTTCTTTGTACCTCAGTAACTATCTAGGCAAAAGAAAATAATGTTCTATTTATCAAATTATTTATCACCAGATTATTTTAATATCTAGCATTTTTCCAGGTTGTTCCTTGAAAGACACATGTTCAGGCCTCTTATTTAGGACTAACTCCCAGCTATGCTGGGAATATTTGTGGCCAAGTAACACTCAGAACTGCATCTCTCACATAGTACTGGCAAAAACAATTACATTCACCTACTAGTAAATGTAAAATTGTTCTGAATCTAGATTGAGTTCAGGGAAAAAACGGCTAGAAAAACAAAGGGAAATGTTGTAATTTGTACTTTGCATTTCAGCTCTTAATTTTATGATTTACCAACATATGCTTTGTTTTTGATTGAACCAGAATGATTATCTCTCCAACTTTATGTGGGATCATCAGAGAAAAAGTTCATTATTTGTTTATTCTGACTTAGGAGAGAGAGGTTCAGCTTCTATATCTACCATTGCTTTTCAATATGATCTTGAATACTTCCTTCCATATTCATGCATTCTTTTATAAAATGAAGATGATATTTACAGTCTCCTTTGCAAAATGTTTAGAGTTGTACAGATGAAGTTCACAGAATCACAGAATCACAGAATGACCTGGGTTGGAGGGGACCTCAAGGATCATGTAATTCCAACCCCCCTGCCTAGCAGGGCCACCAAACATACACCTTTACTAGATCAGGTTGCCCAGAGCCTCGTCCAACCTGGTCTTGAACACCTCCAAGGACGGGGCATCCACAACATCCCTGGGCAGCCTGTTCCAGGACCTAACCACCCTCCTAGTAAAAAACTTCCCCCTAACATCCAACCTAAATCTTCCCTCTTTTAACTTAAAACCATTTCCCCGTGTCCTGCTATTATCAGCCCTTATGAAGAGTTTACTCCCCTCCTGGGAGTAAGTTCCCTTCAGATATTGAAAGGCTGCAATGAGGTCGCCCCGCAACCTTCTCTTCTCCAGGCTGAACAAACCCAACTCCCTCAGCCTGTCCTCATAGGGGAGGTGCTCCAGCCCCCTGATCATCTTCGTGGCCCTCCTCTGGACCCTTTCCAAAATCTCCATGTCTTTTTTGTACTGAGGGCTCCACACTTGAACACAGTACTCCAGATGGGGCCTCACAAGAGCAGAGTAGAGAGGGACAATCACCTCCCTATCCCTGCTGACCACCCCTCTCCTGATGGAGCCCAGGATCCCATTTGCTTTCCGGGCTGCCAGAGCGCACTGCTGGCTCATGTTAAGTTTCTCATCTATCAGGACCCCTAGGTCTTTCTCTGCCGAGCTGCTCTCAAGGACAACTCCCCCCAGCCTGTACAGGTGCCTGGGGTTCTTCCGGCCCAAGTGCAAAACCTTGCACTTTGCCTTATTGAACCTCATTAGGTTCACCCGAGCCCAGCTTTCCAGCCTGTCAAGGTCCCTCTGAATGGCCTCCATTCCCTCCACCGTATCGACTGCACCACTCAGCTTGGTGTCATCAGCAAACTTGCTGAGGGTGCACTCCATTCCCTCATCGATGTCATTAATAAAGATGTTAAAGAGCACCGGTCCCAAGACAGACCCTTGAGGGACACCGCTCATTACCGGCCTCCACCTGGACATGGAGCCATTGACCACCACCCTCTGTCTGCGGCCTTTCAACCAATTGCTTATCCATCTAGTTGTCCACCCGTCAAATCCACCTCCCTCCAGTTTGGAGATGAGGATGTGATGGGGGACCATGTCAAAGGCCTTGCTCAGGTCCAGGTAAATGACATCAGTTGCCTTCCCTTCGTCCACCAATGCCGTCACTCCATCATAGAAGGCCACAAGATTAGTTAAGCATGACCTTCCCCTGGTGAAGCCATGCTGGCTATCTAGGATCACATGCTCGTTCTTTATGTGATCAAGCATATTGTCCAGGAGGATCTGTTCCATAATCTTCCCAGGCACGGAGGTGAGACTCACCGGCCTGTAGTTACCCGGGTCCTCCCTGCTCCCCTTCTTGTAAATGGGAGTGACGTGACCCTTCCTCCAATCGTCCGGGACCTCACCTGACAGCCACGACTTCTCAAATATGATGGAGAGCGGCTCAGCAACCACCTCAGCCAGCTCCTTCAGGACCCTGGGATGCACGCCATCTGGCCCCATAGACTTATACTCATTCAGTCTAAGGAGGCACTCTCGGACTTGCTCAACCCTTACAGTGGGGAGGGATTTACCTCCTTGGTCCCCACATAGAGGTATGGGGGTGCAAGACTTAGGGATGTGAAAAAGACTAGAATCCTGGCCACCAGTGAAGACCGAGGTGAAGAACTCATTCAGCACCTCAGCTTTCTCTTCATCTGTTGAAGCCATTTCTCCTTTTAAATTTACCAAAGTAGGTAAGCCCGTTTTGGCCTGTCTCTTCTGGCCAATGTACCTGTAGAAGGTTTTCTTATTGTTTTTCACGTCCCTGGCCAAGTTCAGTTCTGCCTGCGCCTTGGCTTTCCTGATCCCACGTCTGCAAGTCCGGACGGCATCCCTGTATTCTTCCCAGGTGACACAGCCTTGTTTCCAGAGCTTGTACACCCCTTTCTTCATCCTCAGTTCTCTTAGCAGCAGTTCGCTGCAGGAGATCTAGATTGTATGTAATCTTTGTATGTAATTGTATGTAATGTATTGTATCCAAGGGAGACACATGGGATTTATGTGCGTGGCAATCACTGTCTTCATTCACCTTTTTCTGAAGGTGAGTAAGAAGTACCCTTTGAGTCTTTCACTTTGCTGGAGCAAAGAAGCATCAGTGTGAAAATTGAGACCGAGTTCCCTTTCTCTTTCCTTGTGCAGGACTGTGTTTATATATACTATTGCCTTATCCAGGGTAGAGATGCTACAGCATAATACATAGTTAAGCCTTTCATTGATTGTTACAAACACATTTGTAGTTTCTGCTGAAGTTCTGCAAAGAAAACCAGTGCAGTTAATGGTGTGACAAGTTAACTGATTACAGAAGGAGTTCCTGGCTGTATATCGTGGCCAACTGCATTCCGCTCCTGGTCTGCAGATCAAACAGTGCCCATGGTTGTTGGTGACTCTAGACATAGGCAATCACATCCACACTTACATAATGCAATTGCTGTTTTATATGATATTCAGGTTTTTTTTTTTCTTTTCTTTTTTTTTTTTTTTTTTTTCAGCCTGGCAGCATGATATTTTTAACCAGAAACTGAAAAGGCTTTGCCTGAGGACATGCTTTCAGGGACAGGGCTGGCAGTTTATATATGGCAGACCTGAGATGCTGTCTTATCCAGCCTTATGACTGGAGTGAGCCACTTCCAAAATTACATTTAGACCTTATATGAGAGGGAATTAGCTTGCTATCCAAAAAAAGCAAACAAACCTCTAACCAATCTGACAAACAAACAAGCAAAAAACTCAGAGGATTACACAAACAAACATTTATTTGTGTAGTGGGTATTGATCAGAGAAGAACAAAAAGGAATGAACAAAGGAGCTAAGCAATTCAGTGCAGATACATACCTTCAGACAGTTATTCCAGATATTTTTACGGAATGAGGAAAGAAGGGAAGAGTTCCTGGATGAACAGACGATGATTTAGAGAGAGAAAAATATTGCAATCACTCACATTAATGTAGGGTTCAAAGTAAGGGTAATCAGGCCTTCTGGCAACAGGAGACACATACCAAAGTCCTCATGTGGCAGAGAACCACAAGAAATGCACCACGCAATATGGAGGATCAAGGAGGTAGGACTTCCCTGGGCTGTTTGCAGACAGGAGGTATTACTGAGCACCATGGACTGATTGTACCATAGCATTAGCAGTGGTTAGCTGATCGACTTCAGGGCAACTTGAGACACCCTCAGACAATTTCTGGCTTATTTCATCTTCATACGTGGTCTGGATTACCCAGCAATCTCCACCTGCACAAAATACTACTGCCTAGCACAAGAACTGCACCCGTGGGTGCAGTTGGTCCCACTCTTAAAGCCTTTGTGGTAGAATGGGCTCCACTTCCTTACTTTTTATCAAGGAATTAAAGTAAAATTAATTCACTTTTTAAAATGGCATATACAGAAATGATGAAATGTGCAAGTTTTAAAGAAGTGCTCCTTTCAACACATTTGGGCCATACAGGTAGAAACTTGGACTTGGAGTAAGAAGAGTGAACATATGATGATTCAGGAGAGAAGGAGGATACAACTTCTTAATTTTCTGAATGTAGTAACTACCATTATCTCATGGATTTCTTGCTGAATTATTTATCTTTGACAAGTAGACCAAAACTGAACATGGAGCCACTCTCAATGATCTCAGTAAAATGGGCAGATCGGGTGATTAAAGATAATTGCATGTTTTTGTCATTACTGGGTTTCTCTTGAAGAGCTGGTCAAATCATGTAGTGGAAAGCTCTGTGGTAAAAAAAAAAAAAAACAAAAAAAAACTTTATCAAAACAAAAAATTCCTGTCAGAATATGTCAGGGCTTGTCATGTGCTTAGTTATTTAAAAATGCCAGTTATTTGTGAGTAAATTATTTATTATCTCCAGCTAATTTTACTTTTATAAAACTCTGAGTTTACTGTTTGCTGTAGGATTTCTTATGATCAGACTTTAATTTAGAGGTGTTAAAGCAGTTTGAATATTCAGTACTTCCAAAGCTGAACAAGTAGGATAGCTGATAGGAAGAATTACATGCAAAATAACAATCAGACACTGTCTATATTGATCCATGTCCAGTAGAAGACACCTATTAAACTTAGGCATAGAGTCAAACTGTATGTTTGCTTTATAGAGATTCTCCAAAATCTCCTTAGTCACTAAGTAAATGAGTGACATATTCAATGAAATATGAATGACTAGTAGCCAAAAACAAAGTTTAAAAGCGACAACGGATCCTAACTAAGCTTTGTCTCTATTTGTAATATGTTTTCTTCATATTTACCAATTTTGTGAATCAAAAGAACCATCTCCAGTTCAAAACTTCGCATAATATTAAGCCCCATGCACAGAACATGCTGAATTTTGTGATGATTGTAATATTTTTTTGTTTAGCACGAGCCTTGATTACTATTTGAGGCATACTGCTCTGCAAAATATCAAAGTTCCCATGTACTGTGTGCTGACAGATTTAGTATTTGAGGCTAAGCATGTGTCAGTCCCCCTTCAGTAATGAGTATGGATACCTGCTCCAAAACTGCTTTGAACCTTCTCCTGTATTTATGATGTCAATACAGATTTCTAGCCAATTAATTTGAAAATACCAAATCATTATGTGTATCACTCAGAATTTTTCTGCTTCTGGGCAACCAATATGAAATCTCTTAAAAGTCTCTGACTTCCAGAGGTAGATGTCACATCTCTGGAGAATTCTGCATGTTTTTGGAGGTCTGGAAGTCACTCTACTGCATGTCTGACACGTGGTACTGTTGCATCTGAGCTGGGTCCAGGGCTTGGGACTCACTTCAGGTATTGTGTTTACTTTATTTAGCTGTAAAGGCATTCTAATAATCAGACAGCTATCCCTAATTATTTTTTAAAGTAGCAAGTACTTGTTCTGTGCAGAGCAAGATGTGATTCTAACACAGTGAGGTAATGCGTAACAGGAATAACAGCCCTGGTACAACAGCAGAGATTGGTTCTGATCCCAAATGATGATCAGTTAAAGAAATGCAGACTTGCAGCTGGGCAAAGCTCTTTGTAGGAGTGATAAAAAGTGCAAAGTTTTTGCAAATATAAAACTCATCATACGTAATAAAGTCAGGTGTAATGTTACAGACCAGTGAAGAAAGAACAAAGTTTGAAAGCATTATAGAAAACATCAAATATGTGAAAAGTGAAAGAGTAAAAAACAAAGATGAACATCGTATGCCTCCTGGCAAAGGAATTTGGATGCCACTGATTTATTCTACCTCTTCCCCTCCATCAGAACGGAAACTCTCAGTATTAATACTTACAGGAGCAGCAGAAGCAAACATAACACCAGGAAAAGGTGTGGAAACCAAAAATTGTTTGGGTTAACAACATTATTATTTTAACTGTATCCTTACTGAGACTGCCAACATTCTGGCATCAAGGAGATTAGAAGAGCAGATGAAGATGCCAAGAAAATAGCAGTAACTATTATAAAATAGCAGAAAATGTCAGTAACTGTAGGAGCTTTACTTCCTGAGAAGTTCTTTAATATTAAGACTCCTGTTGACATGAATAAAAGAGGCTTAGTTAGCAGAGCTATCAAATTGTAGTAAGACAACTGAAGGATGGTGGGTAACGCCTCACGGACTACGTGTAGTGACTCTCCCAGTAATGAAAGAATTAGTGGAAAGAACACAGAAGAGTACTCACGTGGGGTCAGAAGCTCTACCTGAAGCAGTAAAAAGATACATGGTGAGAATTAACAAGTTATCTATTGCCAAAAGTATTGCCCAGAAGCGCAGGATTTGTCTTAAAAAGTATCTTGAAATTCAGAGGAACCACCTTCTGAAGAGACATAAAAAGGTGTTCTATAGCTGGGAAATATTTTTCTGAGTTACTAAGGGTGAAAGGTGCAAATATTTGTTGCTATTGATTGACGCCTTTTCAGAGAGCCAAACCAACAAAGCAAGAGAAGTAGTCAAAATTTTACTAAAAGAAATAATTCCAAGATTTGGGATTCCAGGAGGACTCCCATCAGATAGAGGACTTCATTTTGTAGCAAGGAATATCTAGGTTCCTGCAAATGAAATGGGATTTAACATACCCTGTGGAGACACAGTCAAGAGATCAGAGTGATTCAAAGATTCAAAAGACAGACTGGAAAATTACGTCAAGAAACACATTTGAAATGGGTAGAAGTTCTCCCTTTGGCAGTGCTGAGGATTTGAATAACCCATAGAGTTACAGAAGGAGTTAGTCCTGAAATCTTGTATGGAAAGCCACATACTATACATTTGACTGTGACAGGTCATCAGATGCATGTAGCTGATTATCAAATAGTTACTGAATATCTCTTGTCTTTGGCAAGAGTTCTTTTGTCTCCCTTTAGACATGTGCACTTAAGAAGCATCCCTGGATGTTCTGGTACATTTCTTTAAACCCAGAGACCAAGTGTATGTCTGCACTTAGAATGACAAACCTTTCTTGGAGAAGTTGAGAGGTCCTTAGTTGGTGCCCCTAGCAATAAATATTGTGGTAAAAATAAATGGGACTCACTCCTGGATTCATTACACCGAAATGAAGGCACATCCACAGGAGAAACAGGGAACTGAAGAAGTCCATTCTCTGAAGCTAAAAATCAAAAGAAATACATGAACTGCCCTTGGAACAATCTGAATACCCATTTAGGATTGGACTGTACTCAGAGAACATTGTGCTTGTAACTTCGATTTTATTCATTCTATATTTTATATATTTAGGTAACAATACAGATTTATTTAAAGAAAAAAGACTAATGAACTAAGGGGATGACACTCTCCCATTGCCTTTGGATGATTAAGAAAAATGAGGAAAGCTTATGGGAACCAGGGAACTTGTGGGATCAGAATCTGTTTCATAAAATAATCCAAAAGACAGTTCAGGTTGCTAATATGGCCAGTGACTGGGCTTGTTCTCACCAACAGAGAATTTAACATTAAAATGAGGGGATCATACAGTAATTAATACTAGTTGTATATAGGTAAAAAGTGATACAGATTTGGAACAAATATGAAGGCAGACAAAAACACTGTATGAGGTTCAGAAGGACAATACTTCTTATGGGCTTGAAGAAGCCCAATTTAAGTTTATGGAATTAGAAAATTATAGCAACTGCATTTCCAGTAATATCAGCTTTCTTCTGTCTGTGCGTTACACTGCAGTGTATATATCTAAGCATTGCTTCATGTTGATTAACAAAATTTCAGAGGAAATGAGAGTGATCTAACCTGTATTAGATAAGTCTTAAAGGGGGAACTGTCAGTAAGAATAACCTCTGTACAAATCCTTGCATGTGTACCCTTATAAGAAATATGTACTTTCATCTAAGTCAGGATTATCATCCTTAAAACTGCTGAAGTGACTAAGTAGAGGAACATTCAGTCAAATTACAATGACTAAACTTGTCTTTGAAGATAGGAGCATCTTGAGAAAAACCACATGTGAGTTAATCCACATGTGTAGCTAACCTGCAGGTAGGGAGGTCAGCCCTATCTTTAACAGACCAACTGTGGGCCAGAGGCTGTTTTGAGCTACTGGTCAGAGATAAAAGATATTTGTCATCATAAGCATTCCATTTATTTTTTATTTTTTATTTTTGTAAAATGTAGTTATACACAGCTAGGAAGTGAATATTGATGTTTCTTCTATGAATTTTCCAATATACAGAAGCTTCTAATAATTGTGGTCTATCTTAATGGCAGGTTTTTCTGTGGAATATCCATTAGAAAAAAGTTGGTTTTAATGCTATTTCCAGTCTAATGAGACTAAAGAAAAGAAAGAAAAAAAAAACCCACAAAAAAGCAAAAAAAAAAAAACAAAAAAACAACCCCACAACAGTAAAAGCATTTCTGCAGTACTTAAGAAATAATCATCTGTACCATTATTTGTATTCTTGTAGTACCCATTAAATCAAGCCCTCATTGTGTCAGCTGCTGTGTGTAATAGGACAGTCCCGGTCTGGCTGAGAGCAGATTAATTGGGTAGGAAATGCATGTGCAAGGGAAATTGGGCTCTGAAGTGGCATCCAAGAGTTTCCTGGTACCTGAGACATGCAGTTCTATATTCTATCTGTTGACTTACCTTAGATAGTCCCTACTTTCATACATATTTTTCTCCTGAAATAGCAGAGCAGAATAAATAGTCACGGCAAAGGAGAACTAATCTATCTTCAAAGTATCAGGAAAACATTTTAAAAACATATTCACATGCTTTTTATACTGCTTCCCAGAAATGTTCTCACACACGGATTTCATAGCTTCACTTATTTCTCACAAAAGGAAATCAAAAGCTTGGTCATACAAGTAGTCCAGGCAGCTCTAATAAAGTGCTAACTCCTGGTGTGGATAAACTGCAGTGCTCTATTATGTATGCATAATCAGAGCCTCCTTACAACATCATAAACTACAAATCTGTGCTAACCAAACATGTTTTAGACTCAAATGCAAGATCTGAGACATAAATTCTTGTTGCTTAGCTACAAAAGTTCTCCATTAAAAACGAAACAAGCAACTCCAGCAAAAACAAAAAACAAAAAACCCTATGCAGTGTCTGCCAGTCAGTCTTTTGCACTTGTGTCACCTGGGGGCACCTGCACCCCAAGTATTCATTAGACTGACTAAAACCTTGAAATATGAAAATGGCTTCTGAGGTCCAATGGCAGAAAATGTGCAGAAATAGCTCACGAGTCTTCTGTTCCCTGCAGAAGCAGCACTGTGAGACTGCAAAAAGCATCATGAGCTGTTCTCTAGTGCTCCCTCTGGCTGATACCAGAAACCGTAACTTTGCTGAAGTGCAGTGCAAAATGTGAGTGAGAATAAAATATCCTGAAAAGCATCAGCCATTCACCCTCGTTGAGTCACAAGCCCATCTCCCCTAAAAGCTCCAGTTCCTGGTATCAGCCAGAGGGAGTGCTAGAGAACAACTCGTGATGCTTTATTTCCTGTGAAATAAAAGCTGCTTGATGATTCCAATGGGAGGTGACAGACAAACCCACTGAAGCAGGACCTGTGGCAAAACTGAATGTAACCGCACCCACACATGTCCTCCATGTAGGACTAATGAACCATGGCAGACATACATCAGGTTGGTGATGCTAACACTGGCAGATGGAGATTTTTTTTAACTGAACTCTGAATAATGCCGTGCTTGCCGTGAGTGCTGCAAAAGGATTACATTTAGCTAAATGCAAGTGGACGTAGAGAGTGGTAGGAATTTGCTTGAGGGTATTGACTCGTTCATTCAGGTGAAGGAAATGATAATAACCTATTTTACTTTAGTATCCATAGGCATTCTGGAACTTACCTGCGTGTAGGACAAACCTAATCACATGCCTGAGAATTGTGAAATAGTCCAAGCACATGCTGGGGCAGAAAAGAAGAAAACAAATCCGTAGGAACTTAAGCTTGTTGCTCATGGGAACTCTGGAGTTTATGGTAAAACGCCTTTTCTTCTACCCACCTTGAAATGCACCAGAGGCACTGGCCCTGTTTCGGCATTCCTCTGTCCTGGCAGCTGCGAAAGCCTGTGCTGGAAAAGAGAAAGTTATAGACTGTAAAAGAAATCCCGGAATGAATGTGTGTGAAATAAAAAGGCCGTAGCAAGATCAGATCTGACCCCATTATCTTTTCTAGTAGTTCTTTTCTTCTTTTCTTTTTTTCTTTCTTTCTTTCTTTTTTTTTTTTTTAATTACAATAAGAATTTCTAATCTCATCTCAGCATCAGGGCAGTGCGGTGGTGTCTGCACTGCTTTCCACATTCCTAATTCCCTGCCTGCTGTTCTTCTAAGATTAAAAATCAGCAGCAATCCCCAGGTGTATCAATGCAAACATACTAGCAAGCCAAAGGGCACAGAGGAGACCTCCCCAGCTCAATGTTTGGCTGAGGTGAAGACTAGGATTAAGGTCACAGGACCGTGGGGTGCAACAGCTGAATAAAGTGGGTGTAACCAGTCTCATCCTCTCATCCTGTTTGGATTCAGCTCTCTTTCCCCTGAGTTTAGCCTTTGGACTAAAGCTTAGCCTCAAGCTTACAGTGTTGGCGTGGCAGTGCTTGTGGCACTGCTGTAAACAAGCAGCTCTCAGTTCCCAGAGCAGGACCCAGCCGCTGGTTGCAGGGCTTGCTGAAAGGTTCCCTGGCACCACTCCGCCAGGCAAAGCAGTGGAGCCCCCACAAGACAGTTCTTTCAGTCAATCTGTTGGTCTTGTTTGTGTTTCAAAAGGCAATCCTTCCAGTTGGCATAGGAGATAAAATGGTGAGGAAAAGCTGTACAAGCTGCAGCTGTTATCTTGGTTCGGTAAGTCTCTGCATCAGAGGTGCTATTGGAAAATGTCCCCAAGAAAATTAGGGTCAAAATCTTGCCTGAGATCTGTATGCAGCAAACACAGTGATTTAAAAGCACCTCTGTTTCCACACTGCCTCATGTGCTGCTACTGCACAGGGGGTGCTTTACAAGCTCTAGGATACTGAACTACTTCTGGATTTCACACAGAGTGGAAGATGAAGACCTACCAGCATTGTGCTGGCAGCATCTTCTTGGCCCACCAGTCCCTGGCAGCACTTCTAACAGGCACTGTGAGGTGGTCCTGCTGATAGACAGAGAACTACAAAGCACGTCCATACCTGGGCTGCATGCCTCTGGGAGACAGCACAGAGTGCTGCAGAGACTGAAGAGGCCAACAGGCTCTGAGTAAGATTTTCAGTAACACTGAAACAGCTTTACAACTTGTCCCTTCTTTGCTTGGCAGATTGCTTATGTTTGCACCTAACAATGAGGCCTTGCTTCCAAAGAAAAGCCAGCACGTTTCAGAACCCAGCTGTCTCTTGCCTACTTTGGCATATATTGCCTTGCAAACCAGATGCTTTCTTTAGTTGATATCTATTGCAGAAAGAGGAATTTTGCATTTCCCTATTTCTGTGAGTCACGGCAGGAAGATCTGGTTTTGCCGTGCGGCGCATGTCATAATGAAAGAGCTCTTTGTCGGGGTTACTGCAGTTCAGAGCCACCCGCCAAGCAGTGCTGCTCCATCCCCAGTGCAGCCGCTGCTCTCCTGACATGGAGGAAGTGCTTCTGCAGCAGAGCACGAGAGAGTACCCGAGAACAGAGGATAACGGATATAAAATAGATAAATAGTCCAAGCATGGGAGGCTAGCAGGAGCAGAACTGACAGTATTGCTACATCAATTTATTTACAAGCAGATGGCATCCAGAGGGCTCCTTTGAGGAGGATCAGGAAAGGCCAAGCCAGCTCAGTAAAAATAAGCAACCTCCATACAAATGAGAGCTCCCGGTCCTCTGGGAAGGGCTGGAGCGATCAGAGATATAGCTCAGGAGCAGACATCTGCATGTTACATCAATGAGGAAGAAAATGGAAGCATAGCTGCTTCTAAATCAGCAAGCACATAAAGGTCAGGGAACCGGCGAGCTCCCGGTGTGCACTGATACTTAATGTGACATATTTTGTGACTGTCTTGAAGGCCTTTGGTAAGAGCTGAAGATAATGTGGCTGAGCAACTGTACTTGAGGGAAAAGGGAGAGTCCTGCTTCCTTACTTGATTCCTGGGTAGTGCTGAAGTGAATGGGCACCTGGGACAAGCAAAGTCACAGCAACACGACTGGTTCCTTTATACCTCCTCTACCATTTATTTCAGTTTGGTTCCCCTCCATATTTCTCCCATTGAGTGCTAAAGGAGACGTCCCTGCAGATGCAGGATGGAAAAAAGAAGCAGCAGATACCTCCAAGAGACCATTGTAAGCTCTTTCTACACTATGCTCGCTTGAGATGGATTGATGGTCTCTGCAAGTTCTGTATCATGGACCAGGGGTAGGCTGAAGAAAAACTAGTGCAGGTTCTCTCCAGGCTCATACCTGTCAGCTCTCAAATTTTCATAGCAAAACAAGATGAAAATTTTACAACTCTCTAGAATCAGTCTGTCCTTCTCTTGTGAGTAGTTTGCAGGAATGTATTTTAAATCCAGAAACTGACAGTGGTGGTTCCACTCTGCTGAGCTGACCCAGGTGTGGTTTTGGAATCTGGTTCACCCATTCTGATATCACAGAAGACAATGAGTTCCTTTAAATTCTGGTAAAAAGCAGATGACCATTACTGAAAGTGGTGTCTTGCTGCAGTGTTGTCACGACATAGAGATACTGCTTCTGACATAAAAGGGGGACTGTGTGAAAACAGGGCTGTGGAAGGGAGGGATATGGTTCCTCCAAGGTAAGAGCCGTGCTCAGCTTCATCCAACAGGGTGAGGAGGATTTTTGCTACTATATCTGTGTTGTTACTTCTAAGCATGGTGAAAGATTACAGCCCCTTTCTCACGTTTGCCGCGTGTACAGGAGCTGCAGACCTGCAAGAGCTTATCCGAAGCACATGTGGCAGATGCATGACTCATCCGGTTTTTGCTACAGAATTAGTTCTGTGCATGGCTTGTGTCAGCCTGTTCTGTGAAACCACTTCCTTAATTTACTTTGTCTAGATGTCATGGCTTAATCACTTAGTGTTGAAACCAATCCGGGGTTACAAGAAGTCATTCACCTTATGTCTGAATGCAGGCTGTATGCACAGAGTAAATTAGAGGTAAATTTTCAGCCTAGCATCCATATGACTTCATCAAGAATAATATTCCATGTTGCAGAATGTAGGACAGTTTTTTTTAACAGCTTAGCACTAAGAAGTTCCAGAGAAATAAAACTGCCATGTTCTCCATGCAGCTCAATTCCCACTGATCCATGGGTGTCTGCATGGCTGGGGAAAGGCATGAAGCTATGTCAGGGGACAATTGGAAGGGTTAGGAAAAGTTTCTTCCCCAGAGGATGATGGGCATGGAACAGGCTCCCCAGGGCAGTGGGAATGGTTCCACGCTGCCAGAATTCAAGGAGTGTTTGGACATTGGTCTCAGACATAGGGTTTGTATTTTGGGTGTTCCTGTGTCAAGGCAGTGGTTGGACTCGATGATCCTTCTGGGTTTCTTCCAACGTGGGATATTCTGTAATTCTGTGATTCTCTTCTCATAATGCAGGGGATGACAATCATGGTCTTCTTCCTCAAGCCTAGCACTGCTGAGAGGCCTAAATTTTCCCTTCGTGAAGTATTCTCCTGAGCACATACTTTCTCATGCTTTTCCAAACACTGCCCTGTAGTTGCCTGGCTCCACTGTCAATGTGAAGGACACTCACATGGGTGTAGCTCATTCTCACATTCCAAGGGCCTTCCCAGCACCAAAACTTGGATAAAAGCCCTTTGTGTAAATAAGATCTTGTGGTATGACCGACTTGCAAGCACTGTGAAGGAGCAGGCTGGGAAAGGAAAAAAAGCCCTGTGAGGCATTTAGCAGCCTGTGATTTGCTTCCTAGGCTCAGAGGCACAGCTTTGGCCTGAGGGCACTCTGGGACCCCATGAAGGGGCTTGAGGCAAAATTAGGACCTGCGAAAGATGGCTGACGTGTGGTAAACGGAGCAGCTGGCCTTTGCATATGTGGTTAGAAAGCAGGAAGAACTTGTGGCCTGTAAAGCACATGGTCTTGCAACAGCTGTGGGCAATCTGTGACAGACCCAATATAAGCAGATAAAACACACTCAGCTAACCCAAGCTTTCAAAGATCTTCAGGTGCCAAAGGGAACAAGCCTCAGCTTAAAAAAGACTTCTTTTCCAAAGGAACGAATTAAAAATTTCTGCAGATTATCTGGAGGCTGTCTCAACTCTGGTTCTCTGTGAAAGGGCTCGAAAGGGGCTGATATGTCTGTAAATAGTGGCCTTCTTTAAAAGGGCAGATTTGGGACAGGGTGGGCAAGGTGGGGGTAGGGTAGGACAGTGAGCACATGACACTTTCACATGCACCAGCACTGTTCCCCTGACATGTATGGTTCCTTCAGCTTGACCCGCAGACTATCCAGTAGTGATTATTTGTCCCTATTTGTGCCGAGGAGGTTCAGGTTGAATATTAGGAAAAAATTATCCAAAAGAGCAGTGATGCAGTGGCACAGGCTGCCCAGGTTGGTGGTGGAGTCACTGTCCCTGGAGGTGTTCAAGAACCATGTGGATGTGGCACTGAGGGACGTGGGCCCGGTGGGATGGGCTGGTGGTTAGATGTGGTGACCATAACAATTCTATGATCTTAGTCACTTAATTCTCACTGGTATTTTCTCACAGGACTAGCCTTTGCCTCCACAAAGAACACTCAGAAAGCCTGTTTTCAGAAGATTCTAGTAGCTGACTGCACACAATGCTATGCTGCCTGTTCCAGCCTCCAATAGCAGGCAGAAAGAGCAGCAATGTTCCACCTCAGAAGTACAGTTTATGACGCTGCAGTTCCTAACAGCTGGATTTTTAACACCATATGAGGACAGAACAGCTTTTCTGTTACCCACTCTAATGAGAATTCAAGCATGGGTCCATGCAGCACAGCAAGGAGGGTGCTTGGAGAGGAAACCATGGTGCATACAGCACATAACAGCCCAACACAGAACAGCAATGTGTGGAAATGTCTTCCATTCACCGCTCAAGCTGAGCTCAGCATCAGCCTCCCCACCATTAGAACAGACTGTAAACACATGAAGCCAGAACGTATTCCTAAGCAGTTCTGCTCAGTCTCCATCTGTGTTGAGGGCGCTGTGCGACAGCAGTGCTCTGTTCTCATGGATGCCATTATCCAGCTGCTTTTACAAACACAGAGGTTCTGAAATAATACATTCTTCCCAACTTGCTCTGTATGCGATGCTCTGAAGGTTCACATCAAACATATTTGTCCTTCTCCATTAGGACACACCGGCATCCTCTCTGCGCTGCTCTCTGTTCTGTGCTGTTCGGGCTGGGGGAGAGCAGTTCTGTGACATTAAATGCATTTACGTTGCTCGGTGTTGGGCTGCTCCAACCACCTGTGCCTGGAATGGCCACTCTTGAGGCAAAGCGTTGGCACACATCTCAGGAGAAAACAGCTGAGTGCACAGGGGGCTCTTAGTGAGGGACAGAGGGGATGAATGGAGACAGTCTCGCTGCACTTAGAGGAGAAAATGGATGCAGCTCATGTTCAGACACAGAGCAGGGAACATGCTGTACTGAGCACTGTGTTTTCTCTATGTTGTTGTTGTTGTTGTGGCCGCACTTACTGCAGCCTATGGCAGATCAGTTGAACCAGGTGATGTCCTCAGATTCAGTAAAATCAGTGTTTTGAGATTAAATCTACTGATCTCTTACATCTCCTGTTCACAAGAGACGGAAGTGGTGATATGGTTTTCGTTAGTGCAGTCCTACGTGAAGCGCTTGCAGAGCTCCTGGCACCACACTTCTGCTCCACCACAATGGCTGCCACCCCCACCTCTTAACCACGGCGTGTAGGAATGAGAATCCAGAGAAGAGAGAGGGGATAAATACGGGGATACAGCTCTGCTTCTGCCGCAGCCACAGAGCCTCGGGGAGTGGAGGGGACGTCACGAGGATGCAGCACTCGCTGGTCATCCCGAGGGAACGACAGCTGCAACTCCCCGGGCTGTATTAATGGTACCGGGGCTGCTCTGCAAGTAATGCCTCCGATTTTATAGTTATAGCGTATGGCATAGTTAATGGTGATTACTGCGTGGGAAAACAGCGTTCTGCAGCCGAGAATTTGTTCTACCAAATCATGGTATTGTGTTTTTTGCATCTCTTGAAGTTTCCGTGGAAATAAACAGGAGGCATTACTTTTGGAGCGACCACCGCCGAACCTTCCCCCCACCCCGCCCGCCTCGGGGCAGCAGCCGCGGGCGGGTGGAGGTCGGGAGGGGGGAAGGAAGCGGATCCGCGCATGCGCGGGGCGCAGCGGCTCTTCCTCAGGGCGTTGACACGGAGTTACCTCTCACCTACTTCCCGGCGCCGCGTCCCGGCGGGGTAACTAGCGGTCAGGCGGCGCGCATGCGCAGTGACGGATTGCAGCAGGAGCAGGGCGGCTCCCCCCCCCAAGCCCCCCAGCATGCGTGCCCCTGCTGCAGACCCGAGCCCTCCCCCAGCCTCGGGAGGGCCGCGGAGGGTGCAGCCCGGGTGGCGGCGTCTGTCGGTGCCCCGCACCCGGCTGGACGGGGTGCGGTGTGCTGCCGCGCCGGGGTTACTGCCGGTCATCGTCCCCGGCGCGCTCCCGCGGCGCGCTCCCGCTGCCGGCGGCTTCACGCGGGCGGCGGTGGGAGGGTGCGCTGCCGCGTTGCTGTGGGGGCTTGCTGAGGGCTCTCTTGGAATCACAGGATCGTGGAACAAAATCACAGAATCGTTAAAGTTGGAAAAGAACTCTAAGCTTACCAAATCCTACCATCATCCCATCCCCATCGTGCCCACGGACCACGTCCCTCAGTGCCACATCCACACGGTTCGTGGACACCCGCAGGGACGGTGACTGCACCACGTCCCTGGGCAGCCTGTGCCACTGCATCACCACTCTTTTGGAGAAGAAATTTTCTAATATCCAGCCTGAAATGCAGCCTGGACACAAGGCCTGTGCTGGTGCAGGGGGAGTTTCAGTGTGGAAGGACTAATTCTGAGGAGAACTTTGAGCTCAGGCCAGGCACAGTGTTCAGGAAGGATTTGGGAAGCCTCCAGGCCAGCACCAAAATGCTTCTTCTGAGCTGGGGCAGTGCATGATGAGGGAAGGAAGGCAGCGGGAATGTGTTCTCTGGCCATCTTTTGCAGAAGCAAACTGAAATTTGCAGACTCGCTGTGGAAGAACTGTGTAGGCTGTTGGTAGCACAGTGCTGAAGCTCACATAGCTTTTTTTAAAAGAGAAAAAGTGTAGATGATGTCGGTGCAATCCACAAGGCCTGACCTGCAGGATGCAGCCACTATGTGAATGTTGTCTTCGAGTCAATAAGGACAGAGATGCAAGCCATCCAGGCTTCGTATCAGCCATCTTTATTACAGATATTCACCACATGGCTGTTGCCCAACCAAACGGGTCAGCAGTGACCTGAACCCACTGGGAAACTGATGGGT